TTTCCTCCCAAGCTGCAGGCACAGTGAGTCTGGCTCCCAGCCACAGGCATCACTAAGGTAGAGGCCTGCCTTGAAAAGAGTCTCCCCAAAGCCATCAGAAGTTGGGACATGCTCTGCAGAGCCTGAGGCTGGCCTGGGTGAGGCCTATAGATGATCTTGACATGGGGCATTGACTTCTTAATCCCTACAGGGAGATCACAAGGTCCAGTTCAGAACCTGAAGAGGCACGAAGAAGCTCTGGAAGAGAGACAAAGAGAAACCCATGACGATACTAAAAAGAGAACGAGGCGTGGTGGTACACATTTAGAATCTTGGCACTTGGGTGGCTGAGACAAGTGGTCCTGACTTCAAGGCCAGCATGGGCTACAAGAGTGAGTGAGGCTCACTCTCATAAACCAGGTCTGTTGATTCAGGCCTACAATTCCAGATATTAGGAAGCTGGGGAAGGGTCGTCACAAGCTCAAGGCCAGACTGGGCAACATAGTGAGACCATGTCTCAAAAGAAAAATGTAAAAAGAATGCTGAGCCTTTACCAAAAACCCCCTGTGAGGGCCCGGGGGCTTGGCTCAGTGGTAGAGCCCCTGCCTAGAATCCCCAGTGAGGGGCTGGGGGGGTGACTCAGTGGGAGAGCCCCTGCCTAGAATCCCCAGGGAGGGGCTGGGGGGGTGACTCAGTGGGAGAGCCCCTGCCTAGAATCCCCAGGGAGGGGCTGGGGGGGTGACTCAGTGGGAGAGCCCCTGCCTAGAATCCCCAGGGAGGGGCTGGGGGGGTGACTCAGTGGGAGAGCCCCTGCCTAGAATCCCCAGGGAGGGGCTGGGGGGGTGACTCAGTGGGAGAGCCCCTGCCTAGAATCCCCCAGTGAGGGGCTGGGGTGTGGCTCAGTGGTAAAGCACTTGCTTAAAAGCCAGAAGTGAGGCTCAATGGAAGAGCACTTACCTAAAATTTACCAGTGAGGGGCCCAGTCGTGACACAGTGATGGAGGGCTTGTCTAGAGTTTACCAATGAGGAGCTGGGTGACTAGGTAATAAAACATTTGTCTAGCTTATGAAGATTCTAGCTTCAATGCCTAGTACTGGGTGAGGCAGGGGGGGACTAAAAAAGATGGAGACAAGAAGTCATAGGAACAGCAGAGAGAGATGTTGGTTAAAAAAGTCTGCTATTCTAGAATTAGAAATCTGACTGCCTACCACACCGAGGAAAATATTCAGGAGATGAAAGCTGGTAGAAAACAAGTTTATTCAAGGGCCAGCAATATTGAGAAGAAGCGGTGCTGTCATCTGAAAGCTCCATGTTGAGG